ATAAATGATCATGTTATTTATGAAAAGATTACGTTCCTATAAAATCAGAGATATTTACGTGAACTAATCATTAGATAAGATCTACTTACACTTTAGTTCTTATGTTTCTACTTTAACAAAATACATTTTACCAATTAAGTTAATGTTAAGGATGGATAGTGACTAGCAATGGAACCCAGGATGCACGACAATTCGTTTTATTTGTGACTTGTCAACTGAATATTTCTAAATCTCAGAGTTGATGTTCACTTTGGGACTTGAACCCACTACCGTCCACTTCAAATGCCATCGTGTTATCCAGTTAACTATTGAGTCGTGATAGCTATTTGCTTGTGCAATAGGGTGAGATGCAGGTACATCCAGCTGATGAGTCCCGAATGGGATGAAATGCGCGTCCTGAATTTCACTGCTAATCACTATCCGTCCTTAGTTATAATACTTGTAAATTAAGGCAATATCGAGGCAATATGCACTGGATGCACATATGTCAATAAGAGACTGATCAATTGCAGTCCTAAACATCACTGTGTAGATTCAAGTAAAACAATACCAAGTGATTGAAGTTATGTTAGTTGTATGATATTTGATTATTCTGTAATTGCTTTTAAATGAACGAGGACAAATATTCCACTATGCGAATGTAATACAGGAAATATGGCATTAATAGATCTTAAACAGAAATATTTCCTAGAAAATTGTTATTTTTATTACAAGGATTTGTGAAGATTGTTAACTTTTACAGTCAACATCATGGATTGAACTTACTTAGACAACCGTTGAAAACTAAAAAGCACTGATGTATCACTCACTCGCCAATGGTATGGGAAAATTGTTGCTCAATATGAAGAACTGGCTGAAGTTTAGATAGGTAAACTATTGGATCCTTGCTAAATGGTCGAAATATTGAGCACTCGCTATGAGACTTGAAACTCTCACGGTTGGTCCACAGTTGAGTCGTAAATGTGCTCTGCTAAGCAGTTCTATACTAGAAAGGAACATTTGCTTAATACTTCCCGGTTTTTAATAGTTATCTAACCACATTATAAAACCTATATATATACCCACGTTATTATACAGCTGAATAAATTTCTGCCCGTTTTCTCACTTGCATCTTTTTGAATGCATAAGAATTCTAGATTATTTTACGGTTTATTTAAGCATTTGTTTTACACAAACAAATGTATGTCTTTATTTACGGTGAAATCACTCATGCTACTAAACTTTCAGTCATTATGTAAAACAATAAAAAGACACGTAAACATATCTTAATTGAAATGAGAAATCGAGGCCATAGGCATCCTTTTGTCAAAGAATGATCACTAATTATGAATACCATGAATTAACTTGACGCTGCTTAATAAATTAAAGTTAATCTTAAAATAACGAGGAACCATAATCTACAGATTTTGTATTCGAGTGTTTGTGTGGAAAATGATGTGATGAACTTGCGAGATAAAGCTTTGTACATCTGTAAATTCCTGCATTGTATATGAAGCAAGATAACCATATCAAAAATAAATAAGTCATTTATTTTGTATTTATCTTTTGTGACTAATTCTGCACTCAATAATTAACTGGCTAACGCGTCGGCGTTTGAAGCGGAAGGTACTTGGCCCCCGTTTTGACCTGAACACTAACACTGAGATGAAGGTACGTCCAAGTGATGAATGCCAACTATAACAGATCGCATGTTCTGGATTTTGCTGCTAGCCGCTGTGCCAAATAGGACAACAGGCTTCCTTAGCTAGGACTTTAGAATCCCGCGCCATCGATGTGTGCTGCGTCTCCGAAACGCACATACAAGATACGAGTAGCGTCACTCATTTGACTTCACCATGCCAAAATAAAGAACTGACTAGATTCACACTTCGTGTATCTGGAAGCCCTGATGTTGCTTCCCGTGGCTTGGCCGGCGTAGGTATAGCATTGAGTCCTAGGGCAGAACTAGCTCTCTTAGACTGAATCCCAGTAGACAGTCGTTTGTGCACTGTCCGACTGAACGGAACAGTAAGGATCCGGAAAGATAGGGACACTCGTCGTTGCCTCATCGTCGTCTCTGCCTATTCTCCCACTGACTGCAGCTCAGATGATGTAAAAGATGAGTTCTACAGAAAGCTTTCGGACCTTCTCCGAAAAGCCAAACGCTCGGATGTAGTAATAGTGGCCGGTGACTTTAATGCTCAAGTAGGTAAACTAAGCGATAGGGAAAGACACCTAGGTGGATCTTATGGTGTCGTGGCTCAAAGAACAGATAATGGCGACCGTCTGTTGCAGCTATGCTCAGATAACCGCCTGTTCCTTGCAAATACTAACTTTAAGCATAAGGAAAAACATCTTTTAACATGGCGACCTCCTAATTCGTCCCAACGTTGGACCCAAATAGATCACATCGCTATCAGCCACCGATGGAGGGGCTCGACTGAAGACTGTCGCTCATTCTGGAGCACATGCCTAGATTCAGATCATGCTCTAGTGCGAGCGCGTATTTGCTTGCGTCTTACTGGACGTAGGAAAGACGCTGCAAGGAAACCTCTTAGGAACCTACTTAATGATAACCAAGCTAAGAGTATATTTCAGGAACAACTAGGAAAACAGTTAGGCAGCCATGTATGTGATGCCCACCCCGATGCAGCATGGAATGATACCCGAAAAGCTGTGGAAACAGCAGTGATATCTACTAGTAAGGTAAACCAGAAGGTTAGAGAGCAACACTGGATCTCAGCAGCATCTATCCCACTGATAGATGCTCGAAAACTCATTCCACCTGGCCCAGAACATAATGAAGAGCGGAATCAGCTTAAGCGCAAGCTGACAAGAAGCCTACGCAATGATCACGAACAGTGGTGGGTAGCAAAAGCAAGAGATGTGGAAAAGGCAGCGGCAATAGGTAATAGCAGACGATTGTTCAGACTCGTTAAGGAAACCGGTATTAGGAAACCGACCGTTAGCGAAACACTCTCAGAGAAAGATGGACATATTATACATTCTCAATCCAGGAGATTGGATCGATGGGCAGAACACTTTAGGGACCAGTTCAACTGGCCTTCAGCCACACTTCGGCTTCCCACGATCTCTAGTCAACCTGAATGGCAAGTTAATGTAGGTCCTCCGTCCCTTTACGAAGTTGAAAAAGCCATAGGAAATCTGAGATGAGGGAGAGCAGCAGGCCTTGACAGGTTCACTCCTGAGATTTTTAAGGATGGTGGTCCAGTATTAGCAGTGAGATTAACTGAGGTCCTACGTAAAATTTTGGAACTGGACGTAATCCCACCTGACTGGTCTCAATCACTGATTGTGCCAGTCTATAAGAAAGGACAAAAGTCCTCTTGTGACAATCACAGAGGAATCAGTTTGACTAATATAGTGTCTAAAATATTAGCTTCCATAATACTTCGACGCCTAACAAAAGCTCGTGAAGAGCAGATTAGAGAAAACCTTATGAAGGCTCTCTACTCGAACACAACTGGTCGAGTGAGAGCTTATGGAGAACTGTCATCAGAATTGATTACCTCAAGTGGTGTTCGTCAGGGCTGTCCACTCTCTTCATTCTTCTTTAACTTTGTCGTCGACGTACTTTTAGAGATAACACTTTCCTTGTCTAGATTTTCAGGGGTTGAACTTCTACTGGGAGGTTCGCTTGTTGACTTAGAATATACTGATGACATAGTTTTATTTGGTGAAGACGCTGACAAAATACAGAGTCTTCTGACCACTCTAAGCAACAATGCAAGCATGTTCGGGATGCGATTCTCTCCCTCGAAATGCAAAATGTTGCTTCAGGATTGGGTTACATCGACACCCGAACTAGTGATAGGGAGTGAAGTAGTTGAGTGTGTCGACCGCTTCACTTATCTTGGAAGTCTCATCAGCCCTTGTGGTCTGGTGTGTGACGAAATCTCAGCACGGATACAGAAGGCTCGACTAGCTTTTGCCAACTTGCGTCATTTATGGCGTAGGCGAGATATCCGTCTATCAACCGAAGGACGTGTTTACAGCGCAGCAGTTCGCTCCGTCCTAATTTATGGCAGTGAAACACGGCCGGTAAGAGTAGAGGATATCCGTAGGTTACTAGTATTTGACCATAGGTGTCTTCGAAACATTGCTCGTATATCCTGGGACCATCGAGTAATTAATGCAGTTGTTAGGAAACGGGTACTAGGTGAGGATGGCAAATCAATTGATGAAGTAGTGAAACTTCATCAGTTGAGATAGCTGGGACATGTATTACGTATCCCCAACCACCGACTGCTTCGATGTGTGGTGTTTTGTTGTATAGGAGTAGATTGGAAGAAAGGTAGAGGCGGCCAGAACAAAACATGGTACAAGTCCATGAAGTCACTGACAAGTGGACTGAGTCATGTTGGTAGGTGTAGACTACCTGGTTGAGGACCGCGAGATGATAGCAACCAATGGTTAGAGACATTGAATGACATGGCTCAAAATCGTTTGCAATGGTGTGCGCAGGTGCATCCACTCTTTGTGTTCTCCCAAATTCTAATCTTCTGAATTCTTCATGTCCCTTTCTTTTTTCTCTTTCCAAATTTATTTCACTGTATTATACTCCTTGAATAACATCTTCAAACCCTAATTTTTCTGATTACAGCTTATAATTTTACTACATCTAGCACTACGGGATTTGAATCGACCACTGCATCTCTGTGCTAATGTGGTATGGCAACTCGAACTGATGTACGTACGTACGAAGTTCCACGTTGTTACTGACTGATTGACTGACTCTAATTGGAAACTTCTGTGCTTTATGGTCACACTGAAGCGATCTGTTCAGGATGCATACATGCCAAAAAGACCGATCAGTCGCGATCTTTTAAATCAACAACGGAAAGAATAAAACACTTACAAATGAATTACAGCTTGACAATAGACAACAGATATGAGTACAATCACACACATGATGACTAAATTTTGAATAACAGTAAGATATTAATGGAAATACAATGATCCTTATATCGCCGACTTTATCTGTTCCTGGAAATATGGTTTATAAGTTTTCATGGTTGACAAAGACTAGCTATATACTACATTGATTATGTTAACTAAAACAATCCTATGGATTATTGTCTGTTTAATCAAGAGTAGATATGAACCGGGCAAACTGTAAAAAATTGATTAGGAGTAATTTAAGAGCAAACCGTACAGTAATGATTGATATGGATCAAACGGAAGCTTATAATAAATAGGACATAGAAATACAGTGGTACGATTGCTCAGTAATAATGTGATAATAGTACAAACAACATTAGTGAGCGAAATAGCTTCAAAGTTCTAAATTCTTCAGTAGTCATCTGGAATGAACAAACATTGTTCAGTATCATGTGTGAAATCACCAAGTCCTTATTGAAATATTACTAAACGTACACGAAGTCAAATTGCATATATTTTTCTACAACATACCTCAAAGTGATTTCGAAAATGACAAATCTTCGTTATATTGCCCATTAATCCGTGATCAAATAACTCTTTCATTGTCATGGGATCACACCAAAAGAAATCACATTCTTCTTCTCTGTAAAATGTAAAAAAGTAGATACAATAGCCACTTAGAAAAAATTTCCATTTGTGATGTACAAAAATATTCACTTATATTCTCTCGAAGATATTTTCTGAGCGAAATCAAAATTTCGTTTTATCGTAAGTGGAAAAAGATAATCACTGGAATAATATTACTGTAATATATGTTTACCATTAACATGTACTTATTTATTTGTGACTCAATCATAAAATTATGTAGCTCACATGTAAAGTGTAATCAGCCAAACAATATGAGAAGCGTTAACTAAGTCCGGTAATTAAGTTTTATTTTCCCACTTTATAAATGAACTACAAAAATCATATAGAGCAGTCATTTACGTTTGAAAAAGTTCATTTAAGCTTGGTTTGTGTTAAAAACTTTGTAAAGAAGTGTAAAGATTTACCTCGTCAAATTATCCATTCGTGTCCTCTGATAATCATTGAATATCTGAATCTAAACAAGAAATCCAGATTCATAATCAGTTATCATAGAGGCTCATTAATCCAGGTGATCGTTTACACAACTCATATAATATTTTCACCTGTATAATACCAGAGATTTCACTAATTATTACAGTTCAATAGTCGCTTATCAGCAAGGAATACAAGATACAAGGTGATCTAATGGTGGCTTACCATAGACTAAAGGGTTATCGATTTTCTCATTGTATCTAGGACTGATTATTTAAGAAGACACTCTCAGATAGTGCGAAAATCGAGAGCAAATAGTCTACATCTAGAGTCTTGTTTTTCTCAATAAAGAGTGAAATTGTCTTCTACGAAACGTAATACCATCATCTTTTGTCACCATATTCAAAACGAGGGTAGATCTTCGCTGCACTGCAAATAGAAAAGATTAATACAGTTCGCTTAGAGATGACTTTATCTCATATTCTTACCAATGAAGACCGAAATATAAAAAGTATTATACTGACGAAACCGTTCAGTAAAGTCGAGAAGTAAGGTGATGATTCATGAGAACATTGTATATATAGAGAATACATCGACTAGTTTGAAGAATGTTCAGTATTTCAAGTCGATATAGTATGCTGTAATGGACTAAACCACCAAATGGTATGAAATCGGATAGTTTTTTTTCATTTAAGAGCGTTTGTCGAAGGCAAAAAAAAGATTCATAAGAATCAAGCTCATGAATTCGACAATTTACATTGGTAAGATGGATATTTTTCATTCATACTTAGTAATTATTGGGTTACCTGCAAACCTCAATCCACCCACGGTTTCTTAGGACATCAAGAATCGTATTGTTCATAGTGCACTTAAACCGAATAGAACTGGAAAAGAATTATTGTATGATGAGACATACGGAACACTCATTTTTATAAATAAATGATTTAGAAATTATAAACTGACGTTTCGATTGCTGTTATACTACTAACAGGCTTTAGATCGTTTATAGACTGATACTTGTTCTGAAGATATTTTGTTGGTTAAAGATCGTAACATAAACCAAGCGAACTAGGAGACCTAGAAGAGAAAAGAACAATAAGAAACGCAAGTAGGTAACTGAGTGAGCACGCATACAACCTCTAAATAGCCTCTAATTACGAAACATCTGCAAATGGAGAGGGTCATAGAACACTATTCAAGAAAGCAACCTGATGATTCAGATTGCACATTGGATATCCAATGTGCAATCTGAGGCAGATATCTACCTCTATAGAGATTGATCTAATGTGTTATATATATATATATATATATATATATATATATATATATATATATATATATATATATATATATATATATATATATATATAACTTGATCGAATTCGATCAAATAATAGTATTTGAACGGATGTCTGTAATTCCTTTTAAAAATGATCACTAACCTTGTGAGACGATTTTCTTAAATTTTTTACTGGTGACAGTCAGTTGTATTGATTCACAAAGTCAAGTCAAGTAGTAAATTAGACTATTTCAATGAGCTGAGCTTTTTATCCTACCAACACATAAGATATTGGAATAATTAAACAAAATCTAAACAAATCCAGTGCTCAGTATATCTAATATCTTTGTCACCAGTTTGTATAAGCTATTTGCTTTCTTTGAGTTGGTTTTTTGTTGTTTTGGTACGATTCCATGTATTCCATAAATTCCAGCGAGTGGCAGTCTAGCCACTCAATTGCACTAATTCTAGTCGTTTTGGTACTTACTTGTAGACTTGCATATCTTTTTGCTTGTATGAGTGCGTTTGTCTTAAAACAGTAGAGCTGCCATCCTCCAGCAGCTATCACATTAATAGGCGGAGGTTTGTTTGGTTGCAATGAGAAAATAATGGTGATAATTCGAGTTATGAGTGAAGATCATTATTTCCAGAATAACAAACAGGCTAAGTAATTGGTGTGTGATAAGACGGAATTGAAGGAATTAGACTGAAATCGACCTTAATAAATGGAGACAACGGAAGAAGTTACTGATATGCGTTAATGATAACCGTGGGAATTAATGAGATCAGCGTCAGATGATAATCCACTGATGACTACATGTTTATCAAGTCTCTTTTTAGAGCTATCCACTGATAAAGGCTGTGATCACTTCGTCTGGGAAAGCATTTCAGGTAGGGTAAACTCTTGATGAGAAAAAGTGAGAGCATGCTAGGCTGTACGCATCTGTTGCGCACGCTTTCGAGAAGCGTTCTGTTAATGACCTGGTAAAGTGCTGTTTGCCGAGTTGGCTCGGTGAACACGATTTGTTGTGTGCCATCGTCAGATCATCACTTATTGTCCTGTAGCGCAACGAGAAAAATCTCAGCTTCTGGAGGACGAGTCTATGAATCACACATAAAGGAATTAGGCTAGTGAGTCCCCACCCAAATATATTAGGATGCAGCATTTGATTCCCAACCTAATTAATGAAGGTCGTGGATACCGGATGATAGAGGATGATCAGGAAAATGCAGATGTTATGGCGAACTATTTAGGGGTAGTTTCTACTAAGGGGCCTCCTCCAGATGAAGATCTAGGCCAGGAGACTAAACAAACCGTCTGCTCACCCCGGACTTTGATCAAGACAATGTACGTGAGGTTTTTGCACCTCAGACATGGAAACGTCGACAGGACTGGATGAGCTAGACCCCAGAATCCCGAGATAAATTGAAGTTGGAAGGGCTTAACACTGCCATGCGTCTCCTAAAAGGGTTCCAGGATTTCGTAGTTGGACGTAGACAGAACGTAAGAGTAGATTCGAAGAGCTCCATCTGAAGACCAGTACTTGGTGGAGTACCGCAAGGTTCTGTCTTAGATCCTTTACTTTATGTACTGTATGTTATTTATCTCCGAAGTATAGTTGAGTCTCTAATGTTATTGTACGCTGATGATGTGAAAATCTGGCGAGAAATAACGGGCGACGCGGATGCATGCGCACCTCAGACAGGCTTTAATATAGTGATTAGATGGTCTAGAGTGGCCGATGCTTATCAATGAGCAAAATGTGCCTAAACGAACATTGGTGATAAGAAGGTAAATAGGTACAGCATAGGTGAAGTGCCTGTATCTATGGTCCGATCTCACAAATGTCTTGTGGTGACAGTCATAATAATAAAACCATGACACACTGCCAGGAGACTGCAGCCAAGGGGTTTAGAACCCAATGGGCTTTCAGACGGGCATTCACCAAGTTAGATACTACCATATTCACTACAGTATACACACCCGTGGTGAGAACCAGGCTTGAAAACTGACTTCAGACTGCAACTCCTGTTTACAATGTAACCCGGATATTCTGGAAAACGTACAAAGGGCAGTTAATCGTGCAGTTCAAGAACTCCCAGGTTTACCATACAAAGAGTGGTAAGAAAAGCTAGACTTCTTTACTCTGTCTTGTCGCAGATTAAGAGGTGATCTGGTTTCGATGTATAAAACACTAAGAGATGATTTTGGATCTAATACATACCTTATTTTTCTTCCCACTAGATTGGGACATTTCAGTGGACATATGAAGCGAATATAAAAGCCAAGAACGAAAAAAATACCCTTGGCATACAGGTTTTCAAATCGAATCACAAATTCTCGGAAGATGTTACCCAAAGCAGTGGTGTGTAGTGACTCACGTTTATCACGAGAACACGACTGGTTTAATAAAAACAATTATTATTATAACCAACTGTACCAGTGTTTGTTTTAACGTGCTTTTGTTTGACTGTGCTAATGACAGCTATTTTGTGCTTCCATTCTTATACTTACACTTTGATTGTAACTTCGCGCGAATTCGGTTACGTCCTGTAACCAAGCTTGTATCCTGGCACGATCTCGGTATCCTTTCGATGCCACGAGATCGCCAGCAAATAAACCTCGACTTGGTCCATTAACTGTCTTCTGATATTTGGCTTCTCGGGGATTTTATGGATCTATTTGGTTACGTCTAACCCTCGCCTTCTGATTTATTTGGCACGTGTATCTTGGTAGCGGTGTTCATAGTTAATCTCAACTCGACGCCACGCTACAATTGGTAATCCCAATTCGAATACAATTGGTGACCCGTATTTTGGAACACGCCTCAACTTCTGATCAAATCTTCCAAAGAAGCCAATTCGGTGAGTATGATTTATCTATCCACGTCTGTCGTATATTTTCATATTTTTTAATATATAATATACGCGACATGACGGATAACGATAAGAATAGTATTAATATAATAGACTCACACGTATGTGTACCGAATCCTTGTCACCTTTTATTCGCGTGATGATGAATTCCACGCTTTATTCGAGAAATGTTACCCTATTAACGATTCTCCTCGCTGACCCGGCTGCTTGGTACGGAATGCATACGCATAAGCATATCCGTCTACCACCCAGCACCAAATGGTTAAGTTGAACGGTTTCACTGCCAACTTAAAAGTGTTCTACGAGCACACGAAAACGGCAACTGGCACGAAACCTTACCGCTCGTTCTTTTAGGGGTGAGAACGAGCTTAAAGGCAGATATCCTATGTTCCGCCACTGAACTGGTATACGGCACGACATTGCGTCTGCCCGGAGAATTCTTCACACCACGGAGCAGACCTAATTTCGGTAAATCAGACTACGTCCATCGACTGTCTGCATTTATGCGAACGCTGTCTCCGGTGTCAACTCGAATACAACATCGACAGGTCGCTCTCCCTCGAGAGTTATCTACCTGTTCACATCTTTTCATACGAGTAGATTCGGTACGCAAACCTTGGCAACAACCTTACGAAGGCCCTTTTCACGTGATCGCTCGTCACGAAAAGACCTTCAAGGTTGATCGATATGGACGCGTCGAGATCGTCAGCATTGATCGTCTCAAACCAGCACACGTCGATGATAGTGCCCTATCTGACACCCTGAGATTCAATGCTAGACCTATCAAACCTAGCGGGATCCTTAAATCTTCTTCAGGTCCCACGCTAGATGCATCTGAGACCTCATTCTCACGTCCCGGTCAACAGCACGCGTCATCTGCACCGTCTACGGATGAGACGACAGTCTCACGTCCAGATCAGCAGATCACGCCGCCCTTGACTTCGGATGAGATTACAGGCTCACGCGATACGAACGAGACTGCCGTCTCACGTTCCGGTCGCCGAGTACGGTTGCCCGTACGCTTCCGCGACTAGTCGCACAGTCAACAACCGATACGGTGTAGGGTTATTCCTATGCTACATGCATGCTACACTCCTCTTTTTTTGATTTTCTTTTTGTTTCCTGAGCCCACGCCTTCGACCATCTCCATTTGGTTCCGTCGACTTCAGTCAACTTTGGCGAAAGCTGGCCTGATCACCCACGCTCTTGTCAACGTACTCAGTCGATATATTGGTTTCGAATGCTTGGCATACGCTTGGTCTCGAACTTGGTCGTTATGGTCGCTTCTGGTCTTTTGGCTCAACGTGGTTTCGTCTTTCGTCTGCAGCGTTTATGGTCCGGACCCGTACGAACGCCCTCTTCAGATTCTGGATACAAACCACTCTCGTGTAGCATGCCAACTCAAGCAATAAATACAACACATCGCTCCTGGTACCGTTCTCCGAAAACGACCTTCGTTGGCAACTCGACGATCAACGATCGCTTTCCTGTTCGCCAATTCTTCCGTCCTACAATCGCTCGTCAGCCGATCAGTCCCACGATTCAAACAGCTATTTATCGAAAGTGTTAACCCTTTCTAGCGGGGGGCTCCTGTAGTGACTCACGTTTATCACGAGAACACGACTGGTTTAATAAAAACAATTATTATTATAACCAACTGTACCAGTGTTTGTTTTAACGTGCTTTTGTTTGACTGTGCTAATGACAGCTATTTTGTGCTTCCATTCTTATACTTACACTTTGATTGTAACTTCGCGCGAATTCGGTTACGTTCTGTAACCAAGCTTGTATCCTGGCACGATCTCGGTATCCTTTCGATGCCACGAGATCGCCAGCAAATAAACCTCGACTTGGTCCATTAACTGTCTTCTGATATTTGGCTTCTCGGGGATTTTATGGATCTATTTGGTTACGTCTAACCCTCGCCTTCTGATTTATTTGGCACGTGTATCTTGGTAGCGGTGTTCATAGTTAATCTCAACTCGACGCCACGCTACAATTGGTAATCCCAATTCGAATACAGGTGTACGCAATTTCAATTGACCCACTCAAGAGAAAAATATACACTCCCAAAAGTATACTAGAAAAGGAATAAAATTGTCTGTAGGCCCTCTGTCCTTACTACAAATTTGACAGCTATGACAAAAGCACCTAAACAAGATGTGGAAATTAACAAATTACTACAAAAATATTTGTGATTAGTGCAGTGGGGTGGCTAGACGTTACCCCAATGGACATTCAGATGATTCAAATGTTGTGAATGGACCAGAATGCAAATTCGTCCAACGAAATTCCTTACCTGTCTCTGATGGAAAACCTTACACATTGATATCTACTCACTCCTGAATTCAAACCACACACTACCAAATACCTAGAATCGTGCTGAAACAACATGAGGCAAACT